ATCATACCAACGTTTCAGAGCCTATACTAGTCGGATTGAGCTGAAATTTGAGTATGTTATAGGAATCACGTAAATGAACAACTTTTATGAAGAAAGTTTTCTCATTTGAGCTTCTGAAATTTGAGTTCTCGGCTGCTCCAAGGAAGTGACGAATTTTGGATTTTTGAAGAGGAACAAAAGAAAAATAAGGATGAAACTAAGATGAATGAGGAAGAAAAAGATGATACAATGAATGATGAGGATAAGAGTGAATTTATGATTGAAAAGCCTTAGGCTAGGTGAGTCATCCATTTAGAAGAAGGTGATAATACAATGAATGGGAAGGAAGAGAATAAGAAGGAATCTTAGGCTAGGTGAGTCACCATTTTTAGACTAGGTGACTCATCCACCATAGGTTTACAACTCAACCCCAAAATCAGATTTTTTTGAAGAGAATGTAAGTGGGAAGGGGGAAGAATGAAGGAGGGAAGAAATGCTTGGCTTACACGTTGCCTCCTACTTTCTTTCTACAAGGGTATTTTGGTAATCTTTCACACATAGGGGTATTTTGGTCATGTTTGTCCAACTTGAAATTAAACACACTTAATTTAATAATCTCAATCCAAAATCTCTAGATAAAATACCCATAATCATTCTCCACAATTATATTATTTTTCACTAAAATATGAAAATCCACCTTGAATTTTCGGGGTATTACATAACACTTGCACGTGGCATAACATTATTGGACTGGAATAGCAAAACAATGTTATCTGCGTTGCAACTAAGTTTTTCTCCCTGACCAGAAGAGAGGGAGGGGATAGATCCCAAAAATAGGCACTTCCCTTATTGGGAAGAGCCCTTGTAACCAATCTAAGTGAAACCATAAAACTATGTTTTCAGCATTCTTTTCCACGAGCATTCGTTTTAATTATGAGGTACAAGCAATTCCCAAAGCATTATTAAACTTGTATTCTTTCCCAACTTCTGTTCTATCAGTTTACACATGATGTTGCTTATGCAGCGGAATCTATTATTATTAATTTTGGCATAATTTGGAGGAGGCTTTTCACTCAGCCGGAGGAAAACAGAGTCCAGGGGCTTTTCTATATCCTCTCTCTAACAGCGTTCTAGGATTGAGTAGTTTCATGGAAAAGTGAAAAGGACGTTGGTTGCGGTCGCATTTATATCTTTTGTGGTTCTACAATCATACAATCAATACCACTTCTTCAATTTCAAAAGAATATTGCTTTGCTCCTTTCAGACAAATCACGGTCTGATACATATGCAAAACTAACTCATTTAAAACTACAAAAGAGCCGAAGAGATCTAGCCCAGTTGAAAAAGGGTATTGGCTTACAAAACAGTGGTCAGGTTCGAATCCCATGGCACCTTGATAGTGTAAGTGAAAAATTTCTAAACATGTTAGACTGTGGGTTTGCAAAGAAAAAAGAACTCCTTACATGCAAGGAGCTAAATATTTTCCATTTAAAAAAGGATAAGCTAACAGGAAAAACTACTTGTTGTAAGCGAGTACAAATTGCAAAATAAAAACAGTTAGTCCCACATTTGCCGAACGAAAGGAGTACCTGAAGAGAAGATAATCTCAGAAAGATGGGAAATCAAGGTAAGCTAATTTTTTGTGTCTTCAATTATATATCTATAAATAAATAAAAACTGCCCATATTGCAGATTTTGTTTCCTCATGTACTTAGGCACATGTTTTTAGCCTTTGGGAATAATTTTTTTCTTTTTGTCTTGTGTTGTGGTTTGGGAAAAAATTTGTGTTCAATTTTTTACTAGTAAGATTGAAAAGAAAATTTAAAACCTTAAAAAGAAAAAAAAAAAGCGCTAGAGCTACCAAGCATTAATTCCTCATTTCCACACTAACTTTATATGAAAAAAAAGAAGGATAATTGATTCAAAAGGACTGCTTTTGTGATGTACAAACTGGAAATTTAAAGGATTATTCGTAGATCTGGATCTTTGGATGCAAATAAATAAAATTTCTAGCACAAGTTTCCTTTGTTGCCATATTAGTTCTACCATGACAGACATACACATACTGCTCCAGTTGGCGCGCATTTTAAGCCTCCACAAGATGATCTGGTAGGAGAACGAAAAGGAAAACTGCATTTAATGCCTCCAGAAGCTGCCGTGCTTGGTCCGATATATACTCCTCCACAAGATGATCTGGTAGGAGAACGAAAAGGACATCTGCATTTAATTCCAGAAGCTGACGTGCATGGTCTGATATATACTCCTCCAGAAGACGGGGTGCTGAAGGATGTTCCGGCTCCACGCGTCCATACAAGTAAGAGCGATCCAGTTGCAATTTTAATAAAAAGTAAATTACAAGGCATCCCAAAATCGTCGGGGGGGTCCAACTGCTGTATATACAGAGTCCCAAAGAGCTTTCGTAAAGGAAATAAAGAATCATACTACAAACCTTGGGCTGTCCCTATCGGACCTTACCACTTTGGTGCTCGAGGAGGGCTCGAAGTCATGCAAGCCTTTAAATTCAACACGACCTTTTTTTTTTTTTTGTGTCTTTTTGAATTTCAAAAGGTAATAAGAATGAGAGGTGTTAAGCTTTTTATCATCCTGGCATCGAGCCGTTTTTCCGGCAGGACCTCCCCTACAGTATCTTCACCGCAGTAGAGTTTAACCACCAAGTTCGGGATGGATTGGTGTGGTTCCTTTAAATTCAACTACGTGAAGACCTTTCTGGGTCGGTACAAGATGAACTTAGACTTCTGTGTTCAGACAGTGAGAAACTGGGAAGCAAAGGCCAGGAGTTGTTCGCGCAGCCCTTTGAACTAAGCAGTGATGATTTTGTACTTATGCTTCTGGTGGACGCAACTTTTGTGTTGGAGCTGATGATTAGGAATTTCTTTCCCAGTTATATAGACATGCGGGATCCCATATATGGCAAGCCGAGGATGATTGAGGACGTTTACCATGACATGATTTTGATTGAAAATCAGCTTCCCTTGTTCGTGCTTGAGGGTTTGTTTACGTAGATCGGAGGAACTCTAGATGTTTCCTTTGCCGAGTTTACACATGAGTTCTTCAAGCAGTGGGTGAAAATTGAAAAGTTTCCTGGCCATGTTGTCTGTCATGAAGTGAAACATTTTGTTGATTTTGTACGGCACTGCTACTACTTGCCCTCACTTCCACTTGACGAGGAGCAGCGCGAAGATAACAACAATGTCGTTCGCAATCAGCCTAGTAACCTTTTTTATTGGCCCAAAGCCTAGCAACCAGGTATTACGTAACAAGCATTAATTAATTCCTCTTATAATTTTATTTTAGAAAAATAAGATATTAGACGTAACTATCTTTACTAATTAGTATTTGAGACACAATATTTTTGTTTGGGTTTTAATACCTAGGAATGAAATTTTGTTTTGAATTTGCCAAAGAGGAGGCCTAGATTTGTTGGCCCACCTTATATTAATCACTGAAAAGACAATTATACCTTTTTTATTTAAAAGATTCATTGATTTCCCTTTTTGATCAGATTAGATCGATCTCTCTCTCTCTCTCACGCATTGCATAAATCACCGAAGAAGCTAGGGTTTTTTTCCTTTTAATTTTCGCAATCGATGTTATGCTCGCTGTTGGACCGTGAATTAGGGCTTCTCTGCAGATCGGTGTTGAGGTATCTTGACAGGTCGGTTTCGGGAGCTATGGGCTGCTTCTTTGGTTGCTTTAGGGTCAAGGACGATCGCCATCTCTGCTCTCGGCCTCACCTCGTCTTCCTATCCTTGCATAACAATCAGACGGTAAGGTTTCCGTTTGGTTCCCGAGAAAATGTTTTGTCTTCTCAGTGTCTATTTTTACTGTTCGTGAATTATTCGAAATTTTGTGAAATTTTGAGGAAATCAGAGTCAATTTAGTACTAGTTTTGCCCTTGATCTTGAATTAGCCTAAGAAAAAAAAAAGATCATATAAATTTTCAATTTTTAATTTGGTTGCTGAGGATATCATAGAAAATGGAACCAAAAGCATTTCAAATTACTATTATTTTGTTCTATTTCGTTTTATTAGCTACCAAAAACAGTCGATTAGTGTTTCTTTTAATTAGCTTTTAAACAGTGGATGAATGAGTTCTATATAATATAACACTGCTTTCTTGTTTCCATTTCCTTTATGTTAATCAGAAGGTTGTGATATCTCAAAACCGTTTGTCGTCTCTATTTTCAGCCGAAGGTCTATATATTGTCGCATGTCAACCTTTTTCTTCAATCTGAGTCATAAATTTTATTGCTGATTTTACTTCTTGTTTTGTTTGCATATAACTCCCAAATAGAGAGAAGGTTCTCCAAGCAAAGATAGGTAAAGTCCATGTTATGGGTCTCCACAAATTGACAAGGAGCTGAGGAATGAGGTATATGAGTTTGGAAGTATTGGAACCATAGTCTTACTTGGAGAGAGGGTTGTTCTTGCAACTCTTGCTTTTGATCTTAATGTAAACCATCCATATAAACCGCTGGTTGAGGCAATAAAGAAATTCAAAGTAGCTCAAAATGCCCTTGCTCAAGTTGCATGGAATTTTGTAAATGACGGGTATGGTTCTCTTAGTTCATATATCTTGCTTGTTCTTCTTGGCCTTTCTTCAGTTTCTTCTTAAACTTGGAATGTGGCATGTAGACTTACTATGCATTTGTCTTGATTTGGAAATGGTTGATGCCATCATTGTCATATAATATTTTGCAATACCATTTAAGCTTTAGTTCAGTGAAATTTCATACAAGTTCTGCATTATAGTTTTGCACAAACTACATTGCAGTTTTGGTAATTACAATTGGATTTTTGCTCTTTCCTTAGCCTTCAACGTCACCAATTTAAAGAGTAGAGGCTACTCAGATGAGGAATTGGGTGGTCAAGAGAAGATGGAAACTGCGATGCAGAAAACAAAAACTGCATTGCAGAAAATGGAATGTGCAATGCAGAAAAAAAAACATGAATAACCTATTTTACATTCTAGATGGTCTTCAGTCTGATTCCCCCTCTCCCAACATGTCTTGAATAAAAAAAATATTGTTTTGTTTTGTTTAACTCAACATCTGAGCATTTTTGCCCAAACTCAGCATTGCATTTTCCATTTTTGTATTGCAATTTCTGTTTATGCATTTCAGTTTCCGTTTCTGCATTACAGTGTTTGCTTCTACATTGCAATTTGCATTTTAGTACTTTCACCTTGGTTCCTCCATTTTGCTTCTATAAAATTAATTTTTGTTTTTGTTGCTATTTTCGTTTTCGTTTTTTTTTTTTTTTACATAATTGATATCTACATTGTATTTTTGTTGAAGTTTCTGCTTTTATTTGTAGTTTTTGTGTGAATATGTGGTGAAATGATTTTTCTTTTTAAACCGTTGATTGTTTATATAAATATTGTATAACTGAATAAATATTACAAAATCAAGTTTGGTGTAGTGGTTTGTGAGTGAGCCCTCCTCCTTAGAGGATCAAGGTTCGAGTCTCTTTAATGACACAAAATCTTTTTTTTTAAAAGGTGAATAAAGGGCAATGAAGTTGGTCCTGTAACATCACACATCGACCAAACGGAGAGGGGGCGATGTGCCTTATATGTACATGCCCACCTCCATCTAGCATAAGGCCTTTTGGGAGCCCACTAGCTTCGAATTCCATGGGAACTCCGAAGTTAAGCGAGTTTGAGCTAGAGCAATCCCAAGATGGGTGACCCACTGAGAAGTTGCTCGTGAGTTCCCAAAAACAAAATCGTGAGGGGAGGGGGGCCCAAAGTGGACAATATCGTGCTACGGCGGAGCCGATTCGGGATGTGACAGGTTCCCTGCAGACGGTGGCGGTGGCGGTGGTGGTTGGCTGGATGTGGACATGTGGCATAGTATGCTTGCCTTAGAAGGAATGACATTGTGTGTAATTTTGATATTTTTGTAAAATTGGATACTCATTTTGGTCTTTGGCCTTATGCTAATTAGATGAAATTGTATTCCTATCTTCTAAATTAGTAAACTATATTGTGTTTTAAAACTAAAGCTCCCCTCTGTCGAGCTGTTTGACTTGGGGTTGAAGGAGCAAATAATAATTCGTGTGAAGATATTGATGACCGGATTACAGGATCAGCCGGAGATGAAGGAGGGGGTTTTGGAAGAAATCAATAGGCAACGTGAAGATGGTGGTGTGAGTTTGAACATGGAGATGTTTGCATGGGCTATGTATAAGAGCAGTTGGTAGGGAACACAAGATGTCATGATAGAGGCTCGTTTGGGTTTGAGGGTTGGGTTCGGAGCGGAGGGCCAATGACATGCTCGACTGGTTTGTATGATAGTTGATTAAATCGGGAATTTGTATATTTTACATAGCACTAGAGTGTTTAGGTTGACATTGTAATTTTAATGGATGTAGAAGATTCTTGTATAAATTATGATTTGTTGAATTTTGTGGCCATGAAAAGAAGTAGAAAAAGGAATATATATTATGAGGAAACCTTTTCCTATTGTAGATAATCAGGCCTTTAATGGGAAGCATCTTGCAATGAACCTTTTTCTTTTGTTATGAAGAAGAATTAGATAATACTTTGTTAGTTTCTTGTAACAATGTCAAAGGATAATATGGCACTTTTCATTATTTGTATATACAGGCATCAAGAAATTAAGGATGTGTCATCCAAGTATTCTTCAATATTTGCGAAAAGAAAAGGTTCCTTCCAAGCTGACGCCTGGAATTCTCAACACAATTAACATGTTAAGTTAATAGACGCGAAGCTCGGAACCTACACAAATGCAAGGAGAGAAAAAAGGAGAATCTAGCGAGGGTCCAAATTAAAGTAAAACCTAGCGGCGTTGCTTTCCTTTGTTCCACGCGAATAATTCAATCTTGAGAAAGAAGGCCTTGTGGGGCATCTTCAGCAGCGAATGTTTTTTTTTAATCCAACTAAACTATGGTCACCGTTCAACTTTGCAATGAACCTTTCTCTTTTGTTATATAGAAGAATTAGATAATACTTTGTTAGTTTCTTGTACCAATGTCAAAGAACAATATGGCACTTTTGATTATATATATATATATATATATATATATAGGCATCAATTATAATAACTATGAGTCAGCTTGTCCCTGCTTGAAAATAATATATCTCGATTACAGAGGTGGCCAAATCATCCACCCAAACTGGTATGTATCTTTTAATCGTATCTGCAATATGCAAAATTTCTTTGTGCATTTGTTGAAAGATTTCATGATTAATTTTGATCTTGTCACCTACATGAAATAATAAGTAAACAATATTCATATAATAATTAGAGTGGTTGTTCCAGAATTAGTCCAATGCACATGTTGCACAACATCGAAAGAAAGAAGCTTAAGATGCACCCACATAAAAATGAAACTTTTCTCACTCACCACGTTAATAGAAAAGAAATTACCTTTTTATTTATTTATAATAATTTCACTGTTTAGATTATCTTAATAATATTTACTAAACAATTTAATATAGCAAATCATTCACGTAACGCATAGCCATATCATGTGAGAAACATAGGTGCACAATACGTTCAAAAAACCAAGTTTTAGCAATATGCTAATGTATCATGTGTCAGTTTACATACATTATTGGAAAACATGAAACATAAAAACATATATTTAGCTATAAACATGTAACTATTGAATACTTAGGTGCTTTATATACTTGTATTTTCTATTTCGGCCCCCCAACTTCATGATTCTATCTCCACCCCAACGAGTGACATAGTCGCCTCCATGTACAACAACAATAGCAAACCACCAAAATGGTCCATAATGAGATGCATCTATGAAGGCCAATAATGTCTTTGTCAAAGACTGTTCATGTCATCATTCATCTAATCTCATACATGTTTACATACATTATTGGAAAACATGAAACATAAAAACATATGTGTGCTGATTTTCTCACTCTCTTTTTGTCCACATACATTCCTTTTGTTTTTTTAAAATACTTTTTACTTATATAAGGAAGTGTAAGTGAACAAAAGAGGAGTGGGAAAATCAGCTCCCAAAAATATAACCAATTATATCAAGCAAAAAGTGTCAATAATCCTTTCAACATACTCATTAAATATCTTTAATTAGCCATAATTAACCCTTTTGTTAATGGGAACCAAAAAAGAAATAGAGGAAGCTATACATTTTTAATTGAATAATCAGGGTTTGAATGGGAAGCAGCTCGCAAGGAAACTTTTCTTTTTGCAAATATTGAAGAATACCTTCGATGACACTTTGTGAATTTCTTGTAACAAGGTCAAAGGTCTTTCCTCAGTTAGTTCCACAGGTAGTAGAAAGAGCTCTAGGCCTGCCTGAAAATAATATCTTATACCAAGGAGGAGCCATGTCAGCCAACGATTCAACTCAAGAACCTAAGTCGGTAAGCTTCATCATCCTCAACCCATGATCATAATTTGACCTACAAACTTTATCAATTAACTCTAGAGTTTTTGACATGCAAATATTATAAATTTAAAAAGCACATATACTGTCTGATGCTGGCTTACTAACTAAAGTAAAATTTTGGCTCTGCCATACACATGATGACAGGAGTTTAAATCACATATTGAGGATGGCGACTCGACAGAAACTAGACTTATAGCGCATGATGGTTCGACAGAAATTGAACTTACAGCGAAGATTGTTGAGGTTCCTCAGGTATGAGATAAGATGAATGATAACATGAAATTTTAACTTAAATTATAAGTTGTTTATTACATATAATTTAATAGAGGAGATATCAAAATCAAGGGGGTAGGGCCACTCCAAGCCTAAGAATGGCTATGAGTTTTTGACATGCAATATTATAAATTTAAAAAGCACATATACTGTCTGATGCTGGCTTACTAACTAAAGTAAAATTTTGGCTCTGCCATACACATGATGACAGGTGTCTCATACTAAATCACATGCTTGGCCTCATGGATTTATACCGTCCTTACAAGATCATTTTAAGCCTCCACAAGATGGTCCGATACAAGTAGAAGAGGGGGGGCTCAAGGATGTTCCGGCTCCACGCATCCATACAAGTAACAACGATCCAGTTGACAATATTGTAAGCTTCATCATCCTCAACCCATGATCATAATTTGACCTACAAACTTTATCAATTAACTCTAGAGTTTTTGACATGCAATATTATAAATTTAAAAAGCACATATACTGTCTGATGCTGGCTTACTAACTAAGGTAAAATTTTGGCTCTGCCATACACATGATGACAGGAGTTTAAATCACATATTGGGCGTGGCGATAGATGTATAGCGCATGATGGTTCGATACGTATGCAGACTGCTCCAGCCGACGCGCATTTTAAGCCTCCACAAGATGGTCCGATACAAGTAGAAGAGGGGGGGCGAAAGGATGTTCCGGCTCCACGCGTCCATACAAGTAACAGCGATCCAGTTGCAAAATTAATAGAAAGTATATACAGTGTCCCAAAGAGCTTTCGTAAAGGAAATAAAGAGGAACCGAGAATTGGAAATTCGAGTGATTTAGTGGCGATTGCCATACAGGAATGTATCCGACGCACGCCTGATCTGTCGCCTGAGTGTTGCATCTACAAAGTCCCGGAGTGATTTCTCAAAGGGAATGAAGAATTCTACAAACCTCGTGTAGTCGGAATCGGACCTTATCACTTCAAAGATCCAAGCTATGTCAAGCCCAAATACGTGGATGCCTTTTTCCACCGGAACAAGCTCAACTTGGACGATTGTCTTGGATTAGTGAGAAAATGGGAGGCAAAAGCAAGGAGCTATTATGTGGAGCATATTGAACTAAGTAGTGATGAATTTACTTTTATCATGCTGATGGATGCAACTTTTGTTTTGGAACTCATGCTTAGGCATCACTTTTCTGGATACATAGATAATTGTGATCAGATATTTCACAAGCCGAGGATGATTGAAGACGTTTACCACGACATCTTGTTGATAGAAAATCAACTTCCTTTCTTCGTGCTCGAGGGTTTGTATTTGTACAAGCAACTTGGTATGAGTAGTCTCTCTCTAGGAGATCATCATCTTTCTTTCACCGAGCTAACTCATGACTTCTTCAAGCATTTCATGAAAATTGATAAGTTTCCCGCCCATGTTGTCTCTGCTAATCATGATCAAGTGAATCATTTTGTTGATTTTATACGACGCTACTATTTGGCGCCGCCACCGCCTAAAGAGGATGAGCAAAAACATAACGCTAAGGATCATGAAATTCCACCAAGCGTGACGGCACTCGATGAGGCCGGAGTTAAGTTTGAGACAACTAAAGGCAGTGCCTCCTTGCTTAACATAAAATTCAACAATGGTCGTCTCAAAATTCCAAATTTCGTAGTAGACGACTGGACAGAAACTCTCTTCAGGAACCTGATCGCTTTCGAGCAGTGCCACGACACGGAGAAGTACATTTCCCAATTTATGTTCCTCATGATGTGCATGATCAGGACTTCAAAGGACGCAGATTTACTCATGAAATATGGAGTCATATCTAGCATGCTAGGGAGTAGCGAAGACCTCTCGATTCTGTTTAACCATATCAGCAGAGACGTTGGCTTCGAAAAGCCTTTTTATTACTTTCAGATTTGTGCAAATCTAAATGCATATTGCAAGACCCCTCGGCACCTGTGGAAGGCAACTCTGAAGCGAGACTATTTCAACACTCCATTGAAGATTGCTTCTACCATTGCTGCAATTATACTCATTGTACTCACCGTCACACAAACAATATGCTCTATTTTATCCGTCCTTGAGACCTAAACGCAGGGGCGGAGCCACACTGGGACCAGTGTGGTCATGGCCCCCACTCAATTTGTTTATATTTTAAAAGAATATACTGTTATGTGTTTCTATATGTATATTATTTCAAATACTTTACGTTTTAATATGTACCCACATGTGTTGTGGCAGATCTATTAAGGCACAACGAGATGCTTCAAATTGCTCATTTGTTCAGCTGGTAGTGGTACACTCCAGGTGTACGGATTACCTTATTTCCATTTTCAATATTTAAGTAAATGTTTTTGTTCTTTTACTTTCAGTTATTTTTATATTACTCCATTTACTTTTATTTATTTTTATATTACTCCATTTACTTTTACAATGTAAAAATGTGTGTTTTTATTGTATAAATGTTATGAAATTTAACTTCAGCTCTCAACGAGGAAGAAGAAGAAGAGTAAAGCGGGGTATAAGACTGTCATTTATTTAAAAGCATGAGGGCATTATGGGTAACTTGAAAATTTCTTTAACTGCAGCCGCTTTCTTCTCATTACATCAACTTCTTAGAGCACCTTCCCACCCGCTTCCAAAAATTGCTGCCAATGACCCTTAATTTTTCCGAGAAGGTGCTCTTTAGTTATTTTCAACGCACCACAACACCAAACGGAGCATAATAAGCTTCATATTACATCACAAGCATTAATTCCCTATTAAGTTATCAACCATGGAAATTAATGCAATAACGCAACACTCAGCCACCCTGCCGCTACTCCTAGTTTTAGACGACCAATGGCCGACCTAGAAATTTTTGAATGGAGGGGCAAATATTTAGGGGAGGATCAACTAAAATTCATACCAAATAACAATTAACCTAGCGAAAATCAATATCAATTAATCTAATTGAAATATATATCAAATTATCAATTAAACAAACAAATCATAATTGATCATGCAATCATTTGTTGCGTAGCTTATTCCTCTTCGAGTTTGCTATTTATCATACGAATCCAGAGGGAATGAAAACAAAAAGGAAAAAAAAAACATATTATGAAAGAAAAAAAAACCGAATATGTTTTTTTCATTATTAAGACAGGACCTGACCTTGACTGAATAAAAAAAAATTATAATAAAACATATTAAGAAAGAAAAAAAAAACCAAAATGGAACCAGACCTTGACTCAATGCAAGGGTTCTTCAAGTATCAATCCAATGACTCCAAACCAAGTCGCTGAAATACAAATTAGGAGCATCGTGATACGTACAAGGATTCTTCAAACTGGGAGGGATGGCAACTTGGAAATCTGTTTCATCGATGGCTTCATATTGCATGTTTCCCTAAGGAATATTCCCCTTCCACATGTTGCCCATCTATTAGTTGCAGAAATAAGAGTTCCCACAACTTAGATAATACTTTGTTAATTTCTTGTAACAATGTCGATGAATAATACTTTGTTAATTTCTTGTGATAATGTCAAAGAATATGAAGAATAATACTTTGTAAATTTCTTGTAATAATGTCAAAGAATAATATGAAACTTTTCATTCTGTTATATACACATTAATTATAATGATCAGCCACTTTCAGAGCTTGTCTCAAATGCCTGCTTGAAAATAATATATCTTGATTACAGAGGTGGAGTCATCTAGTGAAAATCATCCACCCAACCTGGTACGCCTTATGTCTTTTAAATAATATATTATGCAAAATTTACATGTGTAGAAAGATTTCATGATTAAATTTTGATCTTTTTAGCTACCCGAACATAATCACTTAACATACTCTTTTGCATTCTGATAAGACGTCGAAATGAACCCAAAAAACATCAAACCCAACCAATGGGGGAAGGATGTTATTTACTGCAACAAAATCGAAGAGGTAAAATGACAATTTAGGGGAAACAATAATAAACATGACTTTTGAAAAACTAGGCCCACAAATTCGGGTGCATTGGATGGATGAGATAAACTTAGAATTTGAACAAAGTCAAAATTTCTAAATTGGACAAAATAAAAAAATAAAAAAAATTGGTTAAATAAAAACATTCAAAAGTTTCCTTGCAATTTTCTGTAATTTATTAAAGTTTTCGTTTTTTCTTCAATTTTTATTAATATCAACATGTTGTCGAGACTCTCGGCAACATATTTTTTTAACCTTCAATATTTATAATAGGAAAATATTTGTCTCATTCTCTAGAAGTAGGAACTCTTACTTTCCTGCTAATCACAATTTGACATGTGTGTAGAGATTTTTCTTTTTGCATTTTTGATGAATTATTTTTGCATATGTGTCAAAGTGTGATTTGTAAGAAGTAGGAATACCTCCTCAGGGAAGGAGAAAAGACATTCAGTCCCATGTAGTGCTAATCAAGACTAATTAAAAAAGTTTTTTAAAAAAACCTAATTGAATTAGTTAAACCCAATTTCCACTAAACTTACCACTACTATCTTCTAGCTACTACTACCAGTCATTATTAATTTGGCTTTTTATCACAAATGGTCCTTGACGTTTACGAAATTATTACAAATGGTCCTTGAGGTTTTTTTGTGACACTAATAGTCCTTAACGTTTGGATTTTTTATCACAAATGGTCCCTGTCGTCAAAAATTCTGTTAAGTGTATGATGTGGAAGATAAGTGTAGCCCACATGTCCAATCACATCGTGACATGTGGATTAAATAAATATTTTTTTGATGAAGATCCATTAAAAAACCATTTAGCCTCTCTCTCTCTCTCTCTCTCTCTCTCTCTCTCTACTCTTCAAGTTTTTCAATCCCGAAGACCAAGTTCAAGCTTAAGTTCATCATCCTCTTCAAATAGACAAAGACCAAGAAAAGCCTGGGATGAATTGTAGAGAAATTGAAGCAAATGAGAAGAAAATGGATCAAGAGAAAACAATCCGTGCATATAGAGAAAGAGAGAGAGAGAGAGAGGCTAAATGGTTTTTTAATGGATTTTCATCAAAAAAATATTTATTTATTTATTTAATCCAAATGTAACAATGTGATTGGACATGTGGGCTCCACTTATCTTCCACATCATACACTTAACAGAATTTTTTACGGCAGGGACCATTTGTGATAAAAAGTTCAAACGTTAAGGACTATTAGTGTCACAAAAAAACCTCAAGGACCATTTTTGATAATTTCGTAAACGTCAAGGACCATTTGTGATAAAAAGCCTAAATAAAAAAAAGAAATCACCAATACTCTTTCTCTCATCTTGTGGGTTCATCTTTTATGCCACAAAGACTCTCCAATGCTTAAGTCAGTCTAGTGTTTGAGAGTAAAATGCACAATAAGTTGTGGTATCCAATACGACCTAATCCTTGTTAGAGTTAAACTCAAGAACAACCTAGTCCTTCTAGGACTAGGATTCCTTTAAAGTAGACGTATCTTGTCAACCTAAAGTATCGTAGCTTGCTTAGGACTAGAAGTCCTTTTAGTGGATGCTACGTAAATTAGGCTTATTCATACCAGGCTCAAATTCATGGACCAATGAACCTGCAAGCCCACCTGAGTTAAGGTGGGAAATATATATGGCAATTGGGTTGGATTTCAGCTTAACTCCGTCACTTGTATTATAGGGGAGCTTCTATAATGAGGAGATTATGTGAGGAGGTTATTTGAGGAGGCCCATCTCACCATCAAAAGGGGTGTGGACCCCCCAATGCACCCCCCCCATGTCATTTGTTTTTAGTTGTTGATGGTGAGATTTCACTTCCTCAAATAACCTCCTCACTCAACCTCCTCATTCTAGCCTTTCCGTGTATTATAGAGGTATTTTATCTCAACAACAAACGAGTCAAGTAATGCTAGTCTCTAGAGAATTTTTAAGAGTGTACTTAGAAATATTTCTAACGGAAATATGGATGAAAATAGATGGAGGTGATAGATTCACAC